CGAACGATTTAACGAGGTTAACGAACCTGCCTTTTTATTCTCACCTATAATCCCTCACTGGTGCCCCGCCAGCGTATGCCGTTAGCACAGGCGGGGTTACTATTCCATTATCATTCGTTAAAAAAAACATCTTAGTCCTTAGGAATGAAAATGCATATGGGATACCACGTGTATGGAATGGGTTGGATGTATGGTTGACAACTAGACTGTAGGTTCATATAGCAATAATAAAAAAACCGCGGTGTGAAGTGAATAATTTCGAACGAGTATCGTTACAAGAAATCAGAGGGCCTACCATGAAATGTTTTCCGAAATTTCGGAGCCAAACGAAACAGAAATTTGATGTTAAAATTACATAATACATGCCGTTTGGAAATATTAAAAATGTTAAAATATCGTTCCTTTTGACTTTTATGATAGGATGTATGACGAACGAAATGTTAAACTCCATTTATTGGTCTGGTTTTGGTATAAACAAAAACACGAAATTGAGTCCGAATTTTCGGGATTTCTTTTCATGGTAGACCCACTGGTTACAAGAGAGAATGTTATCGTTGTATTACCACATACAAATTACATTGGTACGAGCCTAAATTGTGTGGCGTCAACATGGAATGGGCCGCCCCTTTCTTTCCTGTAGGTACCGTGAGAGGCGACTAAAAGAGCATAATGTAATCAACGGGTGGGCAGTAGCGATTTTCTTAAAACACCACCAAAGCCTAACTGGCAAAACCCCCCAATAGGGGAAGGCCTATAATCAGCAGTGGACAGTTAACTGCTGATGTGGAGCCAATATTTGCGCTTATTGCCAGATATAGAAACAAAAATTAATATAAGTCTATAACACCATGGGTATAATTATGTATTCAATGATGCCCATGGTACTATTCATGTCTATAGGCAACAGTTACCACCTTCCATCAGGTGGGCCGTCAACTTGTTTACTAAATATCATAAAAAAATTCATAATCCGTAAAGTTGATGCACTAAGCTCTCTCCCTATGCATCATTTGGTATGCACCTGTTGAGCGCTGCCAACCAATTCAATTCTGAAGCAGCTATTAAAATATATCGGGTTATGGTCAAAACCATATGCTTAATGAGTGCCAAGCGAGGATCCACTGCTGGGGGCACGATGGTGCCACACACCCCTACATGCCCACAACCCTAATAATATACTCTTTCGGGGGGAAAGAGATTGTTAGTAATGGAGACTGAGAATCCCATTGCTAGCAATATATCCAACCAGGTCGATCTCCTCGCAATTCCTCCTGGCAACTATTATGGCTAATTCCTAATGAGTTCATCATGATGGGTTAACTGGCCTGTTTTCATTCTCATCTATCACCCTTCACTGGTGCTCCGCCAGCGTATACCGTTAGCGCAGGCGGGATTACCATACCATTTTCACCCATAAAAAAAAATACTCTATTAGGTCGTACTCCAGGCGGTTCCCCCTGGAAATCATCGTGGTTAATTCTTTTTGGATTCATCACGATGGGCTAACGGACCTGTTTTCATCCTCACCTATCATCTTTCACTGGTCCCCCGCCAGCGTATACCGATAGCGCAGGCGGAGTAACTATTCTATATTCATACATTTAAAAAAGAAATTGTCTTGTGACGTCACACTTTCTCGGTCTTTTGAAGTCGTTAGGCTGGTGTTATCATATCCGAACTTTTTCAACTTTCGTTTAAAACAGTTTAAAACTCTTTAACACTTTTGTTACTTTCGTGAGCGAACAAATTAACGTTTTTCAGGTTATATTAGTTTACTAGTATTCTACTTTGCACACGTGGAACTGAAAACTGTACAATATCGTGGTCAGGGTATCTAATATTTTGTAACCATGTTTATATATCCATATCGAAACCTTCAAGAAAAGAGCACATTCGGTTTGAAGGGTGGGATATGGCGTGAATTTACAGGGTACAGAGGAATAACACCCGAGTCCTCAGGAATGGCAACGCATGGGGGGTATCATGGGTGAAACAGTATACTCTGTTATGTCCATGGTACTGCTCATGTCTATAGGCGACGGTTACCACTTTCCATCAGGTGGACCGTCAGCTTGTTTGCCATTCTAAGTTGTATAAAAAAAGACATATTCATAGATATACTATGTTATCACCACACTAAACTTTATCAAAATCCGTTTAGTGTATATGAACAGGGACTGTGTGTGTATTGTATTTCAAATATAAATAGAAATGTAATGATAAAAAATAATGATAAGTCATTTTCCGGTTTCACAAAATGAAGATACATGAAAATAATAAATTGTTTTATAATTTATTTAGAAATAGCAATTGTAAAAAATTTAATTATTTCATATTAACACTGGCACTCGTTACAAAATGGCTGGTTTTGTCGTCTTAAAAAAAAAACATAATGTGCGCTTTTTATTTTCGTTAGTACTGGCAGAAGAAAAAGTATGTTAGTTATTGGCAGTGGCATAGTGCTGGCTTGACTCACTGAAATAATAATGCGGATTGTGTTTTTTGCAACATAAAAATTTTTTGCTATTTTTTAATTCGAGCCAGCGGTTCACTTGATGGAAATTATTAACTTATCAGAAATTCAAAATTCAAAGTCTTTTAAATCGCCATTTTTTTTAATCTACTGTAGGGTTCGTAAAATTGTAATCTGTTGAGAAAAGTACGCAAAAAACTCAAAAGTTACTCTTTTAAATCTCTATTAACGTTATGTGTATTTATTTAAATGTACCATGTCCAATATTATCGACTATTGACGTGAATTGAACTATGAACATCAAAGAATACGCTATGATTTTTTTAAATATCTGTCGTAATTCTATACTAATCTATATTTTAAGAACACTATAATCTTTACGGTGGATTGACAATGAATAGATACTGCTCCGAAATAAAAATAGAGACTTCATCGTGACAAAATAAATACTGGCTAGAAATACCACTATTCTTATTTTGAATCGAATAAAATGCACTGATGAGCGACGAGATGCTTCGTAAACACGTTAGATTTAAAATATTTGAATTTAGAACGCAAAAGTGCTCTACAAAGAAAAACCGTGTTTTCAATCGTCACAAATCGTGAGACAAACTATAAAAACTAACTCCCTACAGCAGTACTTCAAGTTTTAAGAATAAATAATACCTTTATAATTTCTAATTTGTTTTTAAATTAATTAAATTTAAAAACAAAATTACACACAATATAAATATATTAATAAAAAACAACTGCCGTGCTTGCTCCCTAGATAAGTGGCAATCGAATCTATCGACAGATACATTTTCGCTGTGGCATCACGGTATGCATGGGATAAAACGAGACAACAACATATGGCATCTTTTTCTATTATTTGTACGCCGTAACGGAAATGTATCTAGTAATTTGCTGATTGTCCTTATTTCGAATTATTTGAAAAGATTCTCGTGTCTTATTCTAAGCTTCAAACTCCAGAATGCTTCGTCCGAAGCGGTCACAGTCCGCATTCCGTTTCCCGTATGAGCACATATATTTTTACTAACATAATAAATAAAACCAAAGCGGCCGGTTTAGTTTATTTCCTACACTTTGCACCGAGGTTGTTATAAGTGTGTTATATATTTTTTATGCAACTTAGAATGGCAAACAAGCTGACGGCCCACCTGATGGAAAGTGGTAACCGTCGCCTATAGACATGAGCAGTACCATAGACATAACAGAGTATACTGTTTCACCCATGAAACCCCCCAGGCGTTGCCATTCCTGAGGACGCAGGTGTTATTCCTCTGTACCCTGTAAATTCACTGTTCATAATTTAGCAAATTAGCAAAAATAAGAAGTCATGTATATATGTATATAATATGAAATTAATAAAATACTAGATTTTGCCCGCTACTTCGCATGCGTGGATTTCTGAAGTAGGAAATCCAGTGAAATAGACTACTTCTAGATGATGTATCAAAATAAGATACATACCAGTTTTTTAATTATACCTTAACCGCGTGGAGGTCGAACTGATAGGATATATTGCTAGCAATGGGGCTGTTTTTTTTTTATGGGTGAAAATGGTATAGTAACGGTAACTCCGCCTGCGCTAACGGGATACGCTGGCGGAGCACCAGTGAAGGGTGATAGATGAAAATGAAAACAGGCCAGTTAGCCCATCATGATAATGATGAATTCATCAAGAATTAACCATGATAGTTTCCAGGGGGAACCGCGAGGAGGTCGACTAGGTTGGGTATATTGCTAGCAATGGGATTCTCAGTCTCCATTACTAACAATCCTTTTCCCCCCGCAGTGGGGCTGTTAGATCCCGTTTTTTTTTTTTTATACATCTTAGAATGGCAAACAAGCTGACGGCCCACCTGATGGAAAGTGGTAACCGTCGCCTATAGACATGAGCAGTACCATGGACATAACAGAGTATACTGTTTCGCCAATGATACTCCCCATGCGTTGCCATTCCTGAGGACTCAGGTGTTATTCCTCTGTACCCAGTAAATTCACGCCATATCCCACCCTTCAAACCATATAAACCCGTTACTAACAATCCCTTTCCACCCACATAAGATAAGTTTATAAAGTGTACCAAAATGTTTACACATTGCATCGAATAAATAAACTATATTGCCACATAATAAAAACCAATATGGATGCTCGATTAACCATTTATTATTAATATAATAAATAAACTTTGACTTCAAAGACATTTACAATTTTACAGCGTAAATATTTTATTACTGGCCATAAAGATCTTACATTTACGTGCAATCATAACTTTTATTTTATTATTATTGTTTTAATAATAAAAAAAAAATATTAGTTCTAATAATTATAATTAAATCATACTTAAACGTAATTACTAGAACTCAAATTTGAATAAAATACTTTAATTAACTAAATTAAATTATCTAAGTACCTTACTTAAAGATATAAATATGACCAATATTCTAAAAAGCACTTGTAAATAATGTTTAAATAATAATGGAATTTAAAAATCTTTTTTTAAACTTATGTATTATTTTTTATTTATATATCAATTTTATATATAAGGTTAAACTTTAATATGATAATAAAATCCCGGTTTACATTTATATCTATGTATTTTTTGCCCGCTGCTTCGTATACGGATTTGAGAAGTAGAAAGAACAATTAAATAGACCAATTCTAGATGATATACCAAGATAATAGTACATTACTGCAGCGGCCAGCAACTGAGGCATTGATGGACGAACGTACAAATGTGGGCTGAGGCGTAGCCGAGGCAAACATACGTGAGTCCATCAATGCCCAGTTGTGGCCAAGGCTTGTATAGTACTTTTAAGTTCAATGACGAATAACGAACAATAATAATTTTTCACGCGTCATAATGTTCCTTTGTTTTTTTTTAATAAACAGCTTTTATTAGTTACCTCCTTGGTAGCCATGTTTCGAAGTAAAAGGTCATTCCATTTTTAAATTACAGGACAGATATGAGTTAATTTATCTGGCCGCAAAACACGACAGATATGGATTTTCATACAACTTTTGCCGGCCGCTGCCCGCATGTATCTGGCCAGTACGGCAATTTTGATTTATCTCGAAGAAGATTGTCAAAATAATGCTCACATTTCCAAGCATGTTTGAGAAAAATATATACCAGACTTTAAGTTAAATCTTCAAGAATATAACTCTAAAAACCGCATTCAATTTGGTTTAGTAGTTTTTGTGTGATACTAGAATAAACATATAAATAGGCAGACAGAGTAATTTTATAAAAAAAAAATAGTGTTTTGGATTCTTTTGCTCATAACATCAATTTTTCGTAAATAGATATGTATGTCCGGCGTCCCTTCAGAAAATCATCGTGCTGAATTCCAGGTGTATTCATCACGATGGGCTAACTGATCCGCCTTTTCATCCTCACCTATCATCCCTCACTGATGCCCCGCCAGCGTATATTGTTGGCGCAAGCGGGATTGTCATTCCATTATCATCTATTAAAAAAAAATCCTACGGGTACAAAACAATTTTCTAGTCAATTATAAATTTTTTTACTATGTAAACAACAAAATCCTAATTAAAAAAAAAAACATCAAGTATAAGAAAAAAAAAACAATTGAATAAGGACTGTTTAGAGCTTAGATAAAGAAGAAGAGCGGGATTACCATTCCATTATAATTCATTAAAAGAAAACTCTAGCAATCTGATATAATTTTCCCTCATAATTGTCAATATTCACTAAATACTAAACATTTCCGAACATGAAAATATCAAGATTAGGAAACTGTGTCGTAACAATCAAATAGTTCTAAAATAGCCGCCTTCAGCTTGGCTCGCAGCTAAAGGTGGCTGAAGCAAACAAAAATAGATTTAATGGACACCGTCGATAGCATTCAAATTACATCAATTACATAATAAGACCGTTTGAAGGACGATAAGGTTTATTTTTGAAGTTCCATTCAGTGCAATTCTTAATAAACTCCTCGTATTTGGACGTCTGTTTGGGCATGATAGTGGTGTTACTGATGTTCCTGATGCCGTTCTTAATTGAAGGTTTGATCGAAGGTTTAATAATATTGCGCCATATATTTCCACATATCGTCAGCAGACTGATCACGGAGAGGCCTAGAAGGAACCCCTGAAAGAAATAAAAAATATAATGTAAATTTTTTTATGTGACTTAGAATGGCAAACAAGCTGACGATCCACCCGATGAAAAGTGAGAACCGTCGCCTATAAACATAAACAGTATCATGGACATAACAGAGTATACTGTTTCTCCCATTATACCTCCCATGCGTTGCCATTCCTGAAGACTTAGATGTTATTCCTCTGTACCCTGTAAATTCACGCCATATCTCACCCTTCAAACTGAAACACAGCCATGCAAACACAACTGCTTCACGGTAGAAGCACGAATAGGACAGAGGTGGCCAAGCAAAAGAGTTTTGTACAAAGCTGCATACGAGTAATAATGGTCACAAATAGTTTATACCTATTACTCCTACCAAAAACACGTCTCAAAATGTTATATATAATATGTTTTACATAGTTTTTCGATATGCATTTAGCTGTCATCCTATCAGCATGTACAGATGTTGCAACCTTTTTTATTGCAGCACTAAAATAAAATTTATATTTTACGTATATGGCAACAATCGCTCTTCTTCTTCTTGCTACATCAGAAGACAATGCAGTGTTGTGAACAAATTTTGTATTTTATTTAAAACATCACCATATCATCACGCCAGCTTCCTTTAAAGCAACCAACACACTTTCTGCTGCTGCTCAACAGAATTATAAATAGGCTTTTCAAAAAGCAAAGGCTTCTGTTGTTTTTATCAATCGACTTCAAAAAGAAGGAGGTTCTCGATTCGGTTGTGTTTTGTTTTATATGTTTGTCACCTCATAACTCCGTCAGTTGTAAATCGATTTGGAAAATTCTTTATATATCTGAAAAGATATACTTACAGATTCGTCCCATAGTAATTATATTAAAATCTATTCAATAGTTTAGTTTTTAAATCAAGATAACTATTTATTTCTATAAACAAAAAAATAATTTTCCAAACCTGTTTAAAACTGACGAAGTTATGGGGTAACAAACATAAAAAAAATACGAATGGAGATCTCCTTTTCAGTCAGTTTTTTTTTTTTATGGGTGAAAATGGTATGGTAACCCCGCCTACGCTAACGGGATACGCTGGCGGAGCACCAGTGAAGGGTGATAGATGAGAATGAAAACAGACCAGTTAGCCCATCATGATGAATTCATCAGGAATTAACCATGATAGTTTCCAGGTAGAACCGCGAGCTCGACCTGGTTGGGTATATTGCTAGCAATAGGATTCTCAGTCTCTATTACTAACAATCCCTTTCTCCCCTTTTAAAGTCGGTTGAAAGAATAAAAGCATACTAAAATCATTCACTTTTGGTAGACATTTAAAAATATTGACGTATGAAATTCTTTTTGTTTTTTTTTTAAAAAAAAGCAACTTGTTTTTCATTTTAGTACTAAATACGTAAAGACTGGCTTGAAGCCAGAGACGTAACAATCAATATTCGTCAATGAAATATTTATCGTGGTGATATAATAAGGAATGCTCGCTCGGCAACGCATATGTGGGGTTTATTTGCTTCAATTTCAAGGCTGGCTGATGAGATTTCTGTTCTTTGGCGAGGTTACACCTGTTCAGTAGATAGGACTTCAAGAAAAAGTAGAAAAGATACATAAATATATATATATATATATATATATATATATATATATATATATATATATATATATATATATATATATATATATATATATATATATATATATATAAATGATTGAATGTTTTCAATCGATAATTTTTTTTTTAATGAGTGTAACTAAAGTAACTAAAACCGCCTGCGCTCTTGGTATACGCTGACGGGGACCAGTGAGGGATGAAAAGAGAGGATTTTTTTGATGGGTGAAAATGGTATGGTTACCCCCCCTGCGCTAACCGAATACGCTGGCGGAGCACCAGTGAAGGGTGATAGATGAGAATGAAAACAGGCCAGTTAACCCATCATGATGAATTCATCAGGAATTAACCATGATAGTTTCCATGGAGAACCGCGAGGAGGTCGACCTGGATGGGTGTATTGCTAGCAATAGGATTCTCAGTCTCCATTACTAACAATCCCTTTCCCCCGAAAAGAGAGGATAAACACGATTTCTAGGGGAAACAGCGTGAAGTTCAACTAATAGAGATTATTGCCACAAATGAAGCTGTTAGGGGGAGAAGGCATTGGTGGTAATGTGACTACCAGTCCCATTGCTAGAAATATATTCTGTCAAGTCGACTTCCACGCGGTTCCCTCTGGAAACCATCATGGTTAATTTTTAATAAATTCGTCATGATGGACCAACTGTCTTGCTTTTTTCTTGCCTTTTTTTTATCTATCGTCTCACAGATGTCCCGCCAGCGTATACCGATAGCGCAGTCGGGGTTACCATTCCATTTTCATCCATTAAAAAAAAACTATTAAAGTGTAAATCTTAAATAAATACTTACAATGCTTCCTCCAAGGTCCGATAAAAACAAACTCCAGTCATAGTTGTAACGTTCCTCATACACCGTTACCACCATTCCGTTAAAATAAATATAAAGCTGAAACAACAAAATAACTTGATTTCCCCATATTTCATTTAGGCAGGAGGGAGACTGAACAAAAATCGATTGCTTGGATACCTCTGTCCTATTCGTGTTTCAACCGTGAAGCAGCTGTGTTTGCATGACTGTGTTTCTGTTTGAAGGGTGGGATATGGCGTGAATTTACTGGATACAGAGGAATAACACCTGAGTCCTCAGGAATGGCAACGCATGGGGTGTATCATGCGCAAAACAGTATACTCTGTTATGTGCATGGTACTGCTCATGTCTATAGGCGACGATTACCATTTTCCATCAGGTGGGCCGTCAGCTTGTTTGCCATTCTAAGTTGTATAAAAAAAAGGCTTCAACTACTCAGCAAGTTAACCCGGTCGGTGAGTCCTATTTTCTGCTTTCTATATCCGTCAATGCATACTCTTCTGTTGGATTCTAAGAATTCCTAATATATTTTCTAGGCAGGTGAATAAAATCCCATAGTTTTGCTCTAAAGTTTATCGTGATAATCTACCACCGACCGATATGGGCGATATCGAAATGGGCGATGACCTTTTTTCCGCTATCAATGTCCAGAAGAATTAAATATATATGCAGATATTGGATCGGTATCCATATTACCTAGTCCTTTAATGTAGTATTAGATATTTACTTGTGACTCCAATGTATCATCGCCAGTTCGCACCGCCCACTGTCTCATAGCTGAGTCCCAGGCGTAGAAGCTCTGGCGGTCGTTGACGAATGAATTGTACAGATAGGAACGGCAGAAACGTGGACAAACGCTGCAATTTGGTTTGATGTAGAAACTGATAAAAGTAAAATTAATTAGGGTTAGTTAATCTAAAGTAAAAAAAAAAAACTATAATAATAAAGGGGGTTGAAGCTGTGGCCCCTTAACACAGGTTATTATATTAACTAATTTAGGAGGGGGGAAGATATTGTTAGTAATGGAGAGGTTAGTTCCCATTGCTATCAATATAGGGTATACTGATAGCAAAGGGATCAGGTCGACCTCCACACGGATCCCCCTTGGAAACTATCGTGACTAATTTATCATTGAATTCGTCACAATGGGCTAACTGGCCTGCCTTTTCATCCTCACCTGTCACCTCTCACTGGTACCCCGCCAGTGTATACCGACAGCACAGGCGGGGTTACCATACCATTTTCACCCATCAAAAAAAACTCCCCTTATGGGGAAGGCTTATGTCCAGCAGTGGACAGTTAACGGCTTAAATAATAATAATAAATAAATTTTCATATATATATAATATAAGTAAGATATTTCGATACTTGCGTCAAATAAGAAGTAATAAGTTCTCTCATTCCTCTAAAAGTGTTACAGTACGGTAGACTGCTGTTCATCCAAGGCCCTGAACAGCCGGCCTGGTTTCCTGATTGATCCCATACGAATTGCGTAGTACACTGGTTAGAACAAAATTAATTTTATGTCATTTTTGTATATTTGAATGATACAGAATTTTAAATTATGAATTACATATAACTGTGAGCTTAAAAATCGTTTGATATTGATCACAGATAAAGGAAGCACTAAATGTCATGTCGTATAGAGAGGTCAAAGACAATTAAATTCTCAATTAGTTGGAAACTCTTAAATAAGAAGAAGTAGTTAATCACAGAATATACATTTTGTAAGGGTCTTTGAAGCGTAATATTGTAAGGGAACAGACTCTTTTTTTATTACAATATACAGCTTAACTTGTGGCCATTATTAATAACCCCCTACGAGATGAGGGAAAGAGACGCCTAAAAAAGACGCCTAATAAACCCATTGCTAGCAATTTGAGTATTTTTTTAATGAGTGAAAATACAAAACCAATTTTAATAAAGTTTATATGGTACCAATTTATAATTTGTTCCTTTTAAGTAAATAAAAAATTCCAAATCGATTTCGAACTTACCAAGTTATGAGGTAACAAATACAAAAAAAAAACACAACCGAATAAGGACCTCCTTATATTTGAAGTCGGTTGGAATTAAATATATTTTCCACTACTAAACACTAAAATGAGGTACTTAGCTCTGGGTCTCAAATCGCTCATACCTTTCAAACTGATAAAATAAATTTTTACCTGTTTTGCTACCTTATATCAAAATCACAAAATGATATTGCTGTAGCAAAAGACACGAAACTCTACCAACTAATTCTAACTCCTCTGTTTTTGATATAAGGTTTAAATTCTATAATTGCATACTTCGTTGGCGCTGTAATTGTCCATATAGGTACAGGGGTCGTCTTCTGCGCTGATCTTCACGTACTGCTCAACTTTCAACTTGACGTCCATCGTGTCCCCTATATTAACGTATATGTAGTCCACTTGTCCACCATTGTATACGTAAACTTCTAGAGGAAGGAAAAAGAAAAAGAGCTCTCTAGAGGACTTCTCTACCGTATGCATGAAAATGATACTCCAGATGTTGCTATTTAGTACTACCCTCGTTTACAATATTGGCCGTGTGGTCCCGGCATAGAATAGGCTACCCCTTCCTTTCCCGTGGGTGTCGTAAGGGGCAACTAAGGGAGAGCGAGGGATGAGAAGCAGCGTCCCTTTTAAAACATCTCTAATGCCTAATTGTGGCTGCCAATTCGCCTGCCAAACATGGCAACTACTGGCAAAATCTCCCAAGGGGGATGCTTATGTTCAGCAGTGAACAGTTAAAAGCTGATATGATGGTAACTACCTCAAAGATACAGCAGCGTATAAGTATGTATAAATTTATTTGGCATTTATTTACTGGGTCTGATCTAGGCTCCTATGCATCTTTTTTGTGTCTTAGAATAACAAAGAAACCGACCCATCTGGTGGTATGTGATAAGCAACTTCTATAAACATAAACAGCACAACTGTTATCACAGAATTCACTATTATATTAAGGGTTTCCCTCATGCATTACCATTTTTGGTGATAAAAATACCATCCCAGTAGGCAAGCAAATTAAAATTAACATCATTGTTAAGTTTAATCAGCGGATTGACAACATGACTGCGGTTGTCAACCAACATGCCAAGCGTGGCAACTACCGGCAAAACTCCCCTTCTGGGAAAGGCATATGTTCAGCAGTGGACAGTTAACGACTGATGATAATGACACCTATATTTGTAAGTTCCCGATATATATTAAAACAACATGCCAACGCTGGGAATGCAAAATTTATTAAGCAACATGTAATGACTTTTTTTGCTATGTGGTCCCGTTGTAGAATAGGTCACACCTTCCTTTCCCGTGGGTGTCATAAAAGGCAACTAAGAGAACTATGGTCAAGAAATGAACAGCAGTGTTCCTCTTAAAACACCATCTAAGCCAAAGAATCCACTGTCCTGTTTTGTCCACTGCTGAAGAAGGGGGAGGGGTGGAGGAGGAGGAGGGAGGAATTTTATAGAAAAACAAAGTTACCTGTAAACGGCTCCCTGTAGTAATGTAAATGAACATGATATCCTGGCGGAGAGGTGCCACTCGCGGTGGCCACATCGGCTGCGCTGTGCTGCAACTTAATCGAGTAGCCGGAAGCTTTCGTTGCTTCTGTGCTGATGATTTTAGGAGAGAGGGTGTAGCAACGGCCGTACATGAAGCCCAATGTCGATTTTAACTCCAAATCTATTTGTGAAGAGAATATTAATATTTGTCTTGTGTTCTTTATAGTTATTGCATTATTAAAAATAACTAAATACTTTTGTTCTTTTAAGAGCAAAGCAATAAACTGAGTTGTGGCCATTTTGTGATACTATGGCACACGCATGAAGGAAGGGAAAGAAAGGAGATTGTTAGTTTATATATTTTGTTTTTTTTTATTTGTGCTTTTTTATTTTCATTCTTTTATCCCTTTTACTGTGTATTATGTGTATTTTTTTATGGTAATTTGTGTGCTGTAATTAATGTAAATAAATTATCTATCTATCTAAATTAAGTCCCCTTTTGTACACAAATTTCAATGTATTGAAAATAAAATTGTACAAAAATTTACTGCCTGGATAAGACTTGAAATCACTGAGTCTGTGAACATAACAGCTTATTCTTAAGGAAATCCACAACATGGGAGATAAAAATATTACAGTTTATGGTATAATGTACATAATTATGTTTTTATCTATAAGCGACAATTGGTAATTTTCAACAGGTGAGCTTGTTTGCCATTTCAAATTACTTACAACAAATGACTTACCCTCAGCATATTTTTATTAATTACTTCATAGAAATCATTTAATAGATCCACAAGAAAAAACCCAAAATACCTACCTCTTATAAACTTCAATATCTTAAATCCAAAAACATACAAATGCTGTGGACTTTCCCACATAGAATATTTTTATATGATTGACGTTCATAGAAATCATTCAATAGATCCACAAGAAAAAACACAAACTACTGGCAAAACCTTTCGATAGGGGCGACCTATGTTCAGCAGTGAATAGTTAAGAACGGATATGGTAAGTTTTTTTTTATACAACTTATAATGGCAAACAAGCTAACGGCCCACCTGATGGAAAGTGATAACCGTCGCCTATAGATATGAGCAGTACCATGGATATAACAGAGTATACTGTTTCGCTCATGATACCCCCATGCGTTGCCATTCCTGAGGACTCAGGTGTTATTCCTCTGTACCCTGTAAATTCACGCCAAATCCCATCCTTCAAACCGAAACACAGCCATGCAAACACAACTGCTTCACGGTAGAAACATGAATGGGACAGAGGTACCTAAGCAATCGACTTTTGTATAAAAAAAGTTATTTGGATTCAGAAATAAGTAAGTCTAAGGTACGCATGCTGACATCTTCATCTTTTGTGCAAAGCCTCAATCTGGTGAGTAATTAGGATAAAACTCACTATCGTTGCGTCCATCCAACGAGAAATCCACAAATATTTCCTCAGCATCGTAAGTGATGTCTTGCCACAGCACGTCGAGATCGACTGCAGAGAAATTGAACGTCGCCCATGTCGATGTCAATCGAGGATGAGAAAAGAGGCCGTATTCCTGCAAATTTGTTGTTAGAACAATATAATAATACTATTAGCTATACTATTCGTGTTTAATTTATACTACTCGTGAAAGCGCCCTCTGGTTTCAAAAGTTTTTAGACCGTCTTCGTTATAAACAGTCTGTCGTAGCTTACCAAAAGATGGCATTACGTGCTCTCCAAACCTCAAAATGGATAGTAATAATTTTTAAGTTATTGAAGTACGAAATTTTAGAACTAAACGGATTTTGATAATATTTTTATGAGACCAGTCTGTGAGTACGAGTATATCCTATCAGCAAAAAAAAAATATTTCGCAATCGGTATATAACTGAATGGAGTTATGAGGTAACAAATATAAAAAAATATATAAACGAATTAAGAACTCCTTTTTAAAGACTGTTGAAAAGTTAATATAAGATATAAGATAGATAAGTATTTTAATAAATTATCGTCATCATCTTCCTGCCCTTATCCCAAGTATTATTTGGGGTCGACATAATATGGTTTTATCCATATTACTAAATTATTTGGTTTATAGTTTTACGACCAGCCGCCTGACGTCAACCTCTTTGGGGATTAGTTTAATAAATTATATATATATATATATATATATATATATATATATATATATATATATATATATATATATATATATATATATATATATATATATATATATTTAATATTATTAACAATATAAGTACTCGTGCACACACGTGTAAAAATTATTAATTCAATCAAATACTAACAGATGCGCTAGTGGTTACATCATTTTCACCTTCTATCTATTCTCTTTTAACCAAAGGTTGTCTATAAGATTGCCCTAGCGATAAGACCGTCTTTTGCACCTTTATGTTTATATTTCAATCTGTATTTTATGTTACTGTATTTCACTTGAATTGGTATTGTATATTTTTATGTTACTGGTGCAATAAAAAGTTAAATAAATAAATAAAATATTTTTTTGATTTAAATATATATTTACATACCAGTAGCTTGTCGTATTTGTACGGTGGCTCACGACAGAAAGTCACGCTCGGGTACAGTATTGTTTTGTTGAAGTCGAAATGTGTGTACGTTGTTATTGGTTTATTTAATATTTTTGTGACACACAATGTAACCTTAAAAATTAACAGAAGAATGTGAAACAATGTTGATAATAATGCAAGTTGATTAAATGCATAGACTGAACATGTATATTATTTAATTTATTGTCTGTCTCTTAATGAAATTATCTTTAGTTTTGATGAAATTATCACAGACACATACATTCAATTAGTCTATTTTTTTTATTTTACTAATATGATATTAAATTAATAACTAAAATTAATAACAAATCAAAACATTTAATCTATTATTGGTTAGTACTAAGATGATATTGAATTAGTAACGAAAATCAATAACAAATCGAAACATTAATTAGTTAAAATAAGCTATTATAGATTAGAACTAATATGATATAGAATTAGTAACTGAATTTAGTAATAAATCAAAATATTCAGTCTATTATTGGTTAGTACTAAGATGATATTGAATTAGTAATGAAAATCAATAACAAATCGAAACATTAATCAGTTAAATAATCTATTATAGATTAGAACTAATATGATATAGAATTAGTAACTAAGTTTAGTAATAAATCAAAATATTCAATCAATTAATTTATTTTTGATTTGTACCATTATTGATTTGGACTAAAACAAACTGTCTTATGGTCAGGTAATTTATTGGTAAGCTTACATTTTCATTATTTTATATTGAAGCCGATTATAAAAGTACAAATTAAATAGAAAAAGAAAAACAAAAATGGCTGACGTAACACAATAAACGGCATCTGGGCAGGACATATGAGTACTACACATACCAAGTGATAGGTGAAAAACAAAAAAGTCGCGGAAGATCTCGTATGCGATGGTGAAACAAACTTGAGCGGTTGCACGAAGACTCCTTTGGATTGACAAGCGATCGTGCGAGATGGAAGCAGTTGATTTAGGTCTTTGTTCAGCAATGGGACACCATAGGCTATGATTGCTTTGTTCAAAGGGTATAAAAAGTTAAATTTTTTCTTACCTGCTGTATTACAACTCCCATGCAAATAAGAACTATGAGGGATTTTAACAAATTCGGACCTCTGATGAAATTGACACATTTTTGTTTTATGGTAACGACCTCCTTAAAAATAGATTATGATATAAAAAAAAATATTATAATCCTTTATTTAGCTATAGTTGACTGATTAAATGAAATTTTCACTCCAAAAATATATCTAGGTATTGTAAAATTTATTACAACTATCTTATTTATATAAAATGTCCAATTCTTTCACCATCACTGCTGTCAGCCTTTGGAATAAAAGAGAGGAAGACTTTGTACAGATTGCTTGGGCACTCTGTCCCATTCATGTTTCTTTCGTAAAGCAGTTGTTTGCATGACTGTGATTCGATTTAAAGGGTGGGATATAGCAGTGAATTTACAGGGTACATAGGAATAACACCTAAGTCCTCAGGAATGGCAACGCATGGGGGGTATCATAGACGAAACAGTATACTCTGTTATGTCCATGGTACTGCTCGTGTCTATAGACGACGGTTACCACTTTCTATCAAGTGGGCCGTCGGCTTGTTTGTCATTCTAAGTTGCATTAAAAAAATCCCTGTTGCCCTACACAGAGCACCCAGTAAGCTTATTTCTAAAAGAAGAATTATTCAATTATTTGTTAACAAACCCAGCTCTAGTTACAGGTTACTCAATAGTTACTATATCTCATAATGCTTATCGTTATTTTAATGTATATATCATATGTATTAGTATATCCATATATATTAAAAGTAATTTATATGTACTATATGTGTATTTTTTATATATCATGTATAATTTAGTATTATACAATAATTATTTTATCATACGCTTTCTGTTTTTACCTAATAGTTGGCTAACTATTAGGAAGAGAATGCCATATTGCAATAAATTCGCCACTTGTGCAAAGTTTTATTGTGTTATAAAGAATTAATTAAATAATAATAATAATTAATGTAATAAAATATAATATTATGCCGTAAATAATAGTTTATTCACCATACAGTGAATTATATATTAAATAATTACTTACTACATTAAAAATGGAAAAACATTATATTTTAATAATATATAAGTATTTACAATATATTTAATATAATAATAATAATTTAAAACATACGTTTTCTTCCATCACTTCCGCCATTTTGAGGTTTAATTTATGAATATCTTGAACAGTAACATTTTTTTTCAAAAATAATACGTCAATTGTTTATTAGAGGTACGTTCGGTGCCTTTGTATTTCAAAGTATACATGCATTATTTAATAACAATTCCGCAATATTTATAGGGTACTTACGTACCATAAAAAGTAGATAACAATATTGAACGCCGTTTCATAATCTGTTATACAATTTATGGGCCTGCAATTTATGGTGTTGTATTTATTGTCTATACCTATTAATATATAAGGCAGAAGAGTTAGTTTTTTTTTTTTTTATAAGGTGAAGATGAGCTTTTTTTTTATACAACTTAGAATGGCAAACAAGCTGACGGCCCACCTGATGGAAAGTGGTAACCGTCGCCTATAGACATGAGCAGTACCATGGACATAACAGAGTATACTGTTTCGCCCATGATACTTCCCATGCGTTGCCGTTCCTGAGGACTCAGGTGTTATTCCTCTGTACCCTGTAAATTCACGCCATATCCCACCCTTCAAACCGAAACACAGCCATACAAACACAACTGCTTCACGGTAGAAATACGAATGGGACAGAGGTACCCAAGCAATCGACTTTTGTACATAGTCTCCCTCTGGTAAAGCGATGGTAACAAGGCTCTATTATTTCATAATGTATTAGATTACAAACTTATTCGGCATAATAGTTAAACCCACTCTGAAACTAGTAACGCCATCTAGTTAATGGTACAAGAAATCAATATTTGACATAATTACCAACAGATGACGCTATACGAGTACCTCAGAATATATTTTAGGGTATATTGGTATTAACTTCGTTTGTAAATCACTTATACTAATATAATAGTCTGTTACATCATCAGGTAAGCCATCAGCACGTTCGCCATCCAAAAAACAATAATACGTAGTTTAATTGCAATAGTCGAATTGGAAATGAATGCTAAGTTTTATCTAACATTCTAATTTTGTTCAGATAATATGACCTCGATTTGAACTTGGAAGGTTACAGAACTTCTGGTAACAATAATAGCTGTGATCATAGTTGATAATCTTCGAGTGTTAGTAATCGCACATATAGTTATTGTAACGGAATTAAACAAAAAAAAACAACTAATCAAATAACCAATCCAATAGAAGGAACTGTTAGTAATGGGACTAGAGGCCCCATTGCTAACAATATACCTCATCAGGTCGACCTCCACGCGATTCCTCGTGGAGATCATCTTGATTGTTTTTCTATGAATTCATCACTATGGGTCAACTGACCTGCTTTGTTCGGTGGGAAACGGATTGTTAATAATAGAGACTTAGAATCCCATTGCTAGCTATATACCCAATCGGGTCGACCTACTCGCGGTTCCCCTGGAAACTATCAAGGTTAATTCCTGATGAATTCATCATGATGGGCTAACTGGCCTGTTTTCATTCTCATCTATCACCCTTCACTGGTGCTCCGCCAGCGTATCCCGTTAGCGCAGGCGGGGTTACCATACCATTTTCACCCATCAATATATATATATATATATATATATATATATATATATATACTTTTCAGAAGTATTTAATCTTTTAAATACTAATGTATATAAATATACATATATATAGATATATAAGCTCATACATCTGAATTACATTTCAAAACTGAAATCACAGTTAATATGATACTCCTTACTATTCTATTATCATCGATTGCAAAAAAAGAAAAACAATCAAATAAAAGTCACATAAAGCTTACAGCGTTTAATTAACATATAAATTTATATATTTACAGCGAAACATGACTTAGTATAGGCTAACTAACGTTGCTTAACATACAATATCACTTTTTAAGACAGACATTATGTAAGTACAAACAGACTGACAAAATATAGATTAATTACAATAAATAGATCGGTAACGACTTACGCCTATGGCTGTCACAATCACAGGGTTGCATCTTTGATTATTTATTTGTCTGTATATGCTTTATATTATATATCTAAATTTAAATAATGAATTTATCCAATTGTAAAAAATTAAATAGAGTATACTATGTACCTATAACAATTACAATACTTCCTTTAAAACAGTATTTTTTCAATCTTTTTTTTTTATACAACTTAGAATAGCAAACAAGCTGACGGCTTACCTGATGGAAAGTGGTAACCGTCGCCTATAGACATGAGCAGTACCATGGACATAACAGAGTATACTGTTTCGCTCATGATACCCCCCATGCGTTGCCATTCCTGAGGATTCAGATGTTATTCCTCTGTACCCTGTAAATTCACGCCATATCCCACCCTTCAAACCGAAACACAGCCATGCAAACACAACTGCTTCACGGTAGAAACACGAATGGGACAGAGGTACCCAAGTAATCGACTTGTCTCAGAGGGACAAAATCTCCCTCACTAGAGGGAGACTTTGTACAAATCTTTTTCATGACGCGACCCCCTTATTATGTAAAAATATCTTGCGACCCCCTACCCTCCATGGTTTCGTATGTGTATAAATTTTATTATAGCACAATTATGAAATCCGTACAGTTGTATTTATATTCACAGCTAGGTATCGATAAAATAAAATAAATAATACATAATGAAGTATCTCAAACAGGCATGTAATCGATGTCTGTTGTAAATACTTCATTATGTATTGATACTTCATTATTGATTGATCGATGTATTTACGGAACTGTTGATTTTTCACTGCTTCGCGACCTTCCGCGACCCCCTTGTAGAAGTTCTAGACATTTAAATAATCAAAGACCAATTATTATTTATTAATTACAAACACAGCATTCATATTATAATACACACACGGTCAACAATCGACTATTTAGACTAATCATTGTTTTATAGAAAAAAAAAAAACTATATGTGTCAATTTTTAATTTTCGACCAACTCTCCGGTGACGGTAAACACCAATCATATGTCCAATTAGCGGTGGACTTGCCCCTGCTACAATAAATTCTAATATGCACGTCGGAATGTGGACATGTCGACGGCAACAGTTGGCATGCGCCTCTAATTACCCCGTATGGGATTACAGTCGTGTGATTTCGCACGGGTAGGTAGAATTTCAAAAAATAATTTACAGCCCATGTTACTCGCTGCTAATGTAGTATAGTTTTTAAAAAAAAAACATTACAAACTCACAAATCTTTCCTTTTATATATATATATATATATATATATATACATACATACATATAGATAATACTACTCAGAATAATGTACTAATGAAAATTTTAATAATTGGAAATGACTGAACTGCCTTGACGCAACAAAACTATTCATTAATAGCAAACCTTCTTCCAGTCTAAACCTTTTTAATGTCAACTGCGATTTAGCAATTTTTTCCATCTTGATATTGTCAGAATATTTTGGTCTCTATTCGGCCTAATATAAGATATAAAATTGACACACAAAGTGCTACTGCACAGCTCTAAATGATTATTCAAACATTACCAAGATCAAGTAAAGTAGTTCAAGAAAATCAATTACGTCATAAAAAGAAAAGAGTAAAAAATGTAACTGGCATAATGACGTTTAACGTTATACGACCCATTACTGAGTCACTGCACCGCAATAAATATTGACACTAACAATTATTTCGATCGTAATAAAAAAAATACACTTTTGAATTCACTTTTCAATCATTATCGTCGACATACATCCAATTCTAAATCATGTTCTCGTTTGATGAGAAAAAATATCATGGCTGCATCATACTGGCGCGTAAAAGAAAGTTTTTTTTTCGTCTAATTGGGGAGGCAAAGTATCAGACGGACCACTTGATAGGAAGCGGTTACCGTCGCCCATGAACACTTGCCGCATGTTAGTATTTAATAACTCAAGTATACTGATCAGTATGCCATGCCAAACGATGCCATTTGGACTTCAGTCGATAAATCGAGCGTGTGCTTCACCTTTCACAATTTAATTAGACACAAGAAACGCAAACCAGCTTAGTAACACAAGCATGCCTATCGATGTAGAACTGCAGGTCACTGCGGAGTTAGGCTTCAATTTTGACACAATATTATTCGTGACATTCTTGACTTTGTTGCCAAATCGATTGAATTTATCGAGAATATCCGATCGAGGGGTCACGTCACAAGCGGTGTGGCTGATCGCTTCGAGGACAGGGGCGGAGAACACCCTAAAGTTCACTTCATTTTCGTTTAAATCCGTGTACATCCAAATCGGCAATTTATTTGATAAAATCCACAAATTGTCATTGTAATCAACCTTTATGTCAGTGGGATATACCATAGTTTCGTCGTTCATATAGATTCTGCCTTGGTTCTTCATCAGATATTCCCTGTTCGAGGTCTTCCAGCACGCGACAGCGTTCAGATTCACAAGAGAGTAGAAGAGAACACCGGTCTTTTGATCGAGAAAAGAGACGCTCGATTGCGAGTTAGGACCTCTAGTTCCCAATTGTTGGAAGGCTTCGAAATTATTCTCAGCTACGGTTACGTTTCGAAGATATTCTGTGGACACTTTAAACTCGTTGTAACTAGCCATCGGATGGAAGTACAGTGTGCTATAACCATCGGAATTTGGACCTGATATGCCCATACCGAAAATGGCATCAGTCCAACTAAAGTTGAGACCTTTGACATTGAAATCGCAAGCAAAAGGATCCGGGTAGAAAAAGTGGTGTGATATTCTCCAGGATTCGTTTCTGTCCCACGAGTAAACAACAATACCCGCTTTGCCAACATCACCTGCATAAGCATAGGTTTTCTGACAATCTGTGTCTTCAATCACAATATTCACAAAACCTGATTCCTCTTTAACTTGATCAGCAGGTATCACGTATTTTCGAAGGAGATTATCTGTCTTAAGATCGTAAACAATAATGGACGGCGGGTATTTAGTGGGGCTGGTTTCTAAATTCCCAATTTTTCCATTGTCCAACACCCAGAGACGACCGCAACGGTCAGCGCGAACCCTGAATGGGGAGATTATTTCTGGTGGTTTTCCATCCAAGCCGGTAGCGTGAGCTGCCCAACTTGGGTAAGGCATGAGCTTCGGAGATGTAGTCGAATTGTCTGTAATGCAAAAAGTTTAATTTTAATAAAAACGCAGTTTAGTAAACAATACGATCGACATGTAATTGAAATTTTTGTCTATGACTTAGGAAAAAAATCACTTCATAATCACCTATATGATGAATATCCTGAGTCATTACTTAACAAATCATTCTTTTATTTCCTTACAATCTACCTCATGATGTTTGTAGTTTTAGACGATCGTAAATTGATCGCTTGCTCTTGTTTGTTTTTAATTGAACAGTGGTATTTTTTTTAATGGGTGATATTGGAATGGTTACGTCGCCTGTGCTATCGGTATACACTAGCGAGGTACCAGTGATGGTTGATAAATGAGGATGAAGCAGTTTAGTTAGCCCATCGTGACGAATTCAACAAGAATTGTTCACGATGGCTTCCAGGGGGAACCACGTGAAGGTCGACTTAATAGGGCATATTGCTAGCAATGGTGCTGTCAAACTCCTTTGCTAACAATTACTTTTCCCCTTCAAGAACAGTGGTATTTAATATGTAAAAGTAGATTTCATTTGGAAAGTACGTGAACATATTGTAATTTGTTTGTTTAGAACTTATATTTGATCAACAGGAAAGACCAAAAAACAGCAGTTAAACATTAATGGCGAGCATTCCATTCTCATTTGAAACTAGTGATTCAGCAAGTTTCGCATGGGTAAATAAAATTTCCAAAAATAATATAAATATTATGTTACCATCTAAAAATGTTGCTTTCTATAAGTGAAAGAATTTTTAAAATCGTTTAAGTAGTTTTTAGGTTTATTCATTAAAAACAAACAATCAAATGTATCCTATTGTATAGTTATTAATATTAACGCATTTTTCATTTACAGCACTTTTTGTTTGCACTAGTATTGGACATCAGCATTAGGGTTTTTTTTTTTTTATTTAATAAAGTTAACAAACAGTAATACAATATTATTTATTTATTTATTTATTTCTTTATTGTACTCACTAGTTTTAAGAATATGACAGAGGTAATCAAAAGTACAAAGGTGAGCTTAACTCTAAAAGAGTTTTCTTACAATAACACCCAAAGTGGAAAGGAGCATCAATGTCAGCGGCTAGAGCGGTGTACAATATTGTGACAATTTTTAAACAAACAAAATTAAATTAATTACATTATATTTAATCGTACAAATACACATATACATATACATACATACATACCTACATCTATGCATATACTTACACACACATACACATATATATACAATATACGTACTAGATATATAGATAAATAAATATATGTTCATAGAGTTAGAAGATGCTCTTTAAGTCTACTCTTAAAAATATTTAGGGATTGACTCTCACGGATAGATATGGGAAGAGAGTTCCACAATCTAGCAGCATGGACGGCAAAAGAACCACTATAGCGCGTAGATGAGTGTGAAGGAATTTTGAGGATAAGAGATTTCGTCGAACGGGAAGACACATTTATGGGGATCTAGAAAATCAAAACGTTCACGAAGATAGGAGGGAAATTACATTTAAATGTGATTAATAGTACTACCAATAACGTTAACTACAGAACGAAAGAAAGTATGTAAACATGCAAATATTGCCGAGAAATGGAGCTGACCATTATATCTATTAATTAAGTTAAATTATAAATAACATTGACACAACCACATCACTGGTACCAATTATACGAAACAAACAAAAAAAAAGATATTTAAATATACACATGTATTTTATAATTTACTAATTATGTGCACGCATTACTAAATTCGTGAGAGAGGGTGGCTGTTACTAATTGTTTAGCTACCATTTTTATGAAAATTAATGGTTTAGAAGCAAATATATCAACATTATAATATTTGTAACTCAGACTGCTGAAAGGATTTGAATGAAGTGAAGCGGAGCGGAGGCAATGTCGCGAGATATATCTAGTAACTAATTAATGAACTATTTAAAAATACAATCTCAACGATGCATCGATAAAAATGGCATCGGATGGGAAACGATAATTAACTAGTCCGTATCTATGAAATAAATGCACATTACCAACAACTTTTAAAAGGATATCCTGCGAATGGAAATTCCGTCTATTATATTCCATCGAGATGCACTTACAAGTTCATTGCAACCCACACGAAGTACTTTACATGTTAAAGCCACGGCATAGATTTTCCTTGTTTTTTAAATTAATCTATTAACTTTAGAAGGAATCTAGACAATAACGTACGAACAAGAAACAGGGGGTCTACCATGAAATGAAATTCCGATATTTCGGACTCAATTTCGTGTTTTTGTTTATACCAAAATCGGACCAATAAATGGAGTTTAACATTTCGTTTATCATACATCCTATCATAAAAGTCCAAAGGAACAATATTTTAACATTTTTAATATTTCCAAACGGCATGTATTATATAATTTTAACATCAAATTTGTGTTTCGTTTGGCTCCGAAATTTCGGAAAACACTTCATGGTAGGCCCTCAGGACTGAGCTTCGCAAAAACAAAATAATATGATACCTATTTCTGTCAAACCGAAAACACTGGATTGTGTTCCATAAAAACCCCCACTTTAACTGTAGCAAAACCGGGGGGAAAGGGATTGTTAGCAATGGCGTTTGACAGACCCATTGCTAGCAATATGCCTTATTAGGTCGAACTCCACGTGGCTCCCCCTGGAAACCATCGTGAACAATTCTTGTTGAATTCGTCACGATGGGCTAACTGACCTACTTCATCCTCACCTATCATCCTTCACTGGTGCCCCGCCGGTGTATACCGGTAGCGCGGGTTGGGTTACCATTCCATTATCATCCATTAAAAAAAAATAAGACTGTAGCAAAACCAGTTTTGATAAAATTTCTATGGGATCAATCTGATAAAAAAAAAAGTATTTACCAAACCGATTTGTTAATGACGGAGTTATGAGGTAACAAACGTAAAAACACAAATTAAGAACTTTTTTAAGTAAAACCGAATTAAATACCTCTCTCTTCTTAAAGTCGCGTAATATATGAACAAAAGAAAATACAGGCGAATTTTTTGAAGATCCACTGAAAATGAGATCTTCTTTAACAGTTTTCAACTGAACATAAAAGAAATTGAAATACAATGGCGAAGTGAATTTACCAGGGAGACTTTGTACAAAAGTCGATTGCTTGAATACCTCTGTCCTATTCGTGTTTCAACCGTGAAGCATTTGTCTGCATAGCTGTTTTGGTTTGAAGGGTGGAATATGGCGTGAATTTACAATGTACAGAGGAGTAATACCTGAGTCCTCAGGAATGACAACGCATGGGGGGTATTATGGGCGAACCAGCATACTCTGTTATGTCCATGGTACTGCTTATATCTATAGGCAACTGTTATTACTTTACATCAGGTGGACCTACAGCTTGTTTGCCATTCTAAGTTGTATAAAAAAAATTTGTAACATCAAAATGGGAGCGAGTTCTTTTGATTTTGTGACATTGTAGCGCTGCGGTATACTGTTATAGTGTACGGCGCATAACACTTATGCAATTCGACATTGCTCCTACGAACGCGACCTTGATCAAATAGTTATAAACTAGTTCTACAATCTATACATACCAACATATTAGAGGTAGATTGCATGGGCATCTCTGTCCCACTCGGGTTTTTTAATGGATGATAATGGAACGGTAACCACGCCTGCGCTTTTTTTTTATACAACTTAGAATGGCAAACAAGCTGACGGCCCACCTGATGGAAAGTGGTAACCGTCGCCTATAGACGTGAGCAGTACCATGGACATAACAGAGTATACTGTTTCGCCCATGATACCCCCAATGCGTTGCCATTCCTGACGACTCAGACGTTATTCCTCTGAACCTTGTAAATTCGGTATACACCGGCGGAGCACCAGTGAGGGTTGATTGGTGAGGATGAAAAGGCAGGTCAGTTTGCCCATCGTGACGATTTCAACGATAAATTAATCACGATGCTTTCCAGGTAAACCACATGGAGGTCGACCTAATTGGGTATATTGATAGCAATGGGGACTAACCTCCAAATTACTAACAATCCCTCCCCCCCCCCAGCCCCGCCCCGCAGTCCACTCGAATTACAGCCGTTAAGCAGGTGCTTGGTGCGTGATGTTTCAGTTTAAAGGGTGAGATTACAGGGAAGTATCTTAATAAACATAACACAATATTATATAACTACGTGTGTATATGTATCTACATGTGTTACGAACACATAATACATATACACACATCTGCTACGCCTAACAACTTTTGTGTTCTCCAATTGTATGTATTACCATAAACTGTTTTATGCCAGGGAGGGGGCCTGGTGCCTTGTGATACGGGTTCTTTGAATACCCAGTTCAGGCACCAGTTCTCTACAACTTCGATGTATCTATGGTATTATTTTAAATGTTTCATTGTATTTAAAAATTATTATTATTTATTTATTATTATTTATTATTTATTATTATTATTATATATATATTATATATTATATATTTATTTATTATTATTTATTATTTATTTATTTAAAAAAATTGTGAGATAAATAAATAAGCATTATTATTATTGAAAAAAAAAACAGGGATGAATGCTTCGAAGGAACTGTTCTTTGCCATTTTAAGTATCATAAAAAAAAAAGAAAATACCAACCTTTTAGATTAACATAGTTCAAACTAGCCGGAACTCCTGAACGCCACCTCGGGACGGTCAGAAAGAGTTTCTCCTCGAAGATCTCTATGCCCATGGGTATATTATTCTTCGGTATGAAGTTCTTGTTGTCGATGGCTTGCTGCCTCGCTTCGGGAGATGTGAACTGATAATCCAATTGTCTCCACTCGAAGCGTATGTTCAGCTGGTCCATGCATGTGGCACTGTACGCCAGGTACAAGATTATGAGGGCTCTCCTACCCCCCATTGTAGTGAGCTGGAAGTATAAAAAAAAAGTTATCTACATTAATATTATAAGGAGGAAAGATTTGTATTTTTGTGTGTATGTTAGTAATGAATAAACTCAAAAACTACTTTAACAATTTCAAAAATTCTTTCACCATTAGAAAGCTACATTCACCCTGAGTAACATAGGCTATATTTATTGCTAGAAAAGATTAGGAATCCTTACTAAAACTTTAGTAACGTAACTCAAGGTGTAAAAAATGTTATAAAATATCTTTGGTCACGTGCGCTGCGGGAACTATTGGTGATAGAACAAAAGTATGTTCTACAATATTGAAGAAAATATCAATAACTACAAAAAACTTCACGATACTATATGTCCAACTATTATCGTTATGTCACAATAACCACTTTTTGAAATGTTGTAAAAATGTCCACCCGTGCGAAACCGGGACGGGTTGCTAGTAAATAAATAAATAGCTTATGACTGTAGTAAACTAGTTTAATAACATTATAACTTTGAATTTATGGTGGATAAGGGATCGTTAAGCATGATGTCCTGTTACTGACAATAATATGCTAACAAGTAAACTTTCATTTCATCATCACCATATCGGCCTTTAACTGTCCACTGCTGAACGTAAGCAGAACGAACGAACCCTCCAAGGATGGAGGGTTTTGTCAGCAGTTGCCACGTTTAGCAGGCAGATTGGCAACCTTAGCTTAAGTCTGATATGGTATGGGCAATATCCTTAAAAATACCAGAGAGATTGTATAAAAGTCGATTGCTTGGGTACCTCTGTCGCATTCGTGTTTCAACCGTGAAGTACTTGTGTTTGCATGGCTATGTTTCGGTTTGAAGGGTGGGATATGGATAATTTACTGGGTACAGACGAATAACACCTGAGTCCTCAGGAATGGCAACGCATGGGGGGCATCATGGGCGAAACAGTATACTCTATTATGTCCATGGTACTGCTCATGTCTATAGGCGACGGTTACCACTTTCCATCAGGTGGGCCGTCAGCTTGTTTGCCATTCTAAGTTGTATAAAAAAAATTAAATAAACGATGACCTTTTCTTCCACGGTCAATATCCAGAGAAACCCAATATATGGATATTGAAGCCGTATCGATATTAGAAATGCCTATAGCTTACAATAGTTAAACCAACGAGATACATTATAATAACTTATTAAGAACATATCATGCGGGGGAGAGGAATTGTTAGTAATTAGGTCCAACTGACCCATTGTCATTGTCATACATCCTATCAGGTCGACCTGCACGCGATTCCCCCTGGAAACCATCGTGCACAATTCTTGTTGAATTCGTCACGGTGGGCTAACTGACCTGCTTCATCCTCACCTATCATCCTTCACTGGTGCCCCTCCGGTGTATAATGTTAGCGCGGGTGGGGTTACCATTCCATTATCACCCATAAAAAATACACCCTGTCAGGTCGACCTCCACGCGGTTTGCCCTGGAAACCATCGTAGTTAAGACTAGTGGAATTCGTCAAGATGGGCTAACTGACCTGCTTTCATCGTCACCTATCATCCCTCACTGGTGCCCAGTCAGCGTACACCGATAGCGCGAACGGGGTTACCATTCCATCATCACCCATTAAAAAAAAACATCATGCGAATCGGAGACGGGTCGCCAGTTATTATATAAGAATAAAATTATTATATCGTATGACGTAATTATATATTGAAATGGCAAAACGAACGAGTTCGAGATGTATTCGAACCGATGACCTTGATATTGTCGATATTTCGGGGCCATTTGCGTATTTCGCGCTCGAGTTTATATAATAATTTATATATTATTTCAGCCATTAACTGTCTGCCCCATAAAGGCAGTTTTGCCAGTATTTGCCACGCTTGGCAGTCGGATTGGCAACCGCAATTAGGCTTTGAAAATGTTTTAAGAGGCCCTGCTGCCCATCCTACGCCCTCCCTTAATCGCTTCTTACAATACCCACTGGGAAGAAAGGGGTGGCTTATTCTATGCCAGGTGCGAATTTTTGAAAAAAATCACGCGGATAAAGTCACGGCTAAATATTAGTACGTATATTAATAATTTATTAGAAGGATACTTTGTACAAAAGTCGTTTGCTTCGGTGCCTCTGTCCCATTCGTGTTTCAACCGTGAAGCAGTTGTGTTTGCATGGCTGTGTTTTGGTTTGAAGGATGGCATATGGCGTGAATTTACTGGGTACGAAGGAATAACATCTGAGTCCTCAGGAATGGCAACGCATGGGGGGTATCATGGGCGAAACAGTATATTATCTGCTTATGTCTATAGGCGGCGGTTACAACTTTCCATCAGGTGGGCCGTCAGTTTGTTTGCCATTCTGAGTTGTATTAAAAAAAAAACAATAATAAAGACAAAAGACAAGAATTGTATAAACTCACATGTAATTTTCCACATATTACTGTCCTACAATGATTGTTCAATTAGAAAAACATATTTTTCTAACAGGTAACACTCACAATTGGCATTGTCTACGATATAGCGTAAGTTTATTTAAGTATTTCACAATAACATAACAATAATAATTGTTTGTCTGACTGTCTGTTTGTTCAGGTGAATCACCTCGTTTACTCTCCACATTTATTTGCAATGTATATTAATATTTCTGACATGCCATCATACGTTTCAAACTCGGTGATTCAGAAGCGAACACGTTGCTTTGAAATGTTTTTTTTTTAATGGATGTGAATGGAATGGGGGCTTTGAAATGGGGTCCCGTGTTCGGTTCTCTATGGGGCTTAATATAGAAAACGAACCTTTCTAAATTTACTCAGGAATTTTTTTTTTATACCACTGAGTTTGTAAACAAGCATACGTCCCGCCTGAAATACACAGATTTCCTGGTATTTTTTTTAATGAATGATAATGAAATGGTATACGCTGGCGGGGCACTAGTGAGGGATGATATATGGGTCTATTTTATGCTAGGACCACACAGAAGTGCCGGGACCCCATACATAATATTTTAGTCCTCAGGAATAGCAACGCATGAGGGTTAACAACGGACCACCGTTCTATGCCGGGACCACACGACTATAATGTAAATATCCCGGCAATAAGATCAATCGCAAATAAAATTATTTTTTTACTTAGAATAGCAAACAAGCTGACGGCCCATCTTATGAAAAATGGTAACCGTCGCCTATAGACATGTGCAGTACTATGGACATAACAGAGCATACTGTTTCGCCCATGATACCCCCATGCGTTGCCATCCCTAAGGACTCAGGTGTTATTACTCTGTACTCTGTAAATTCAAAAATTAATAGTAACTTATTTAATAGTAAATAGTAAATAGTAAATTATTTAATTTTTAATAATAATTCTCTTGAAGAATAATTATAACTCTACGTAATTAATGTCTTTACCATTATTATTTACCCTTTCACTTGATTACTTGATAGTAAAATAGTCAGAAGTTTCTAGAATCGACCGCGCACTGTCGGTACCGTGTGAATAGAAAGGTACCCCGGAATTAGACCTTGGATGAGGCCAGAATGGAGTTCCGAGAGACCTCGGTCAGAAGGAAATATATGCAGTCAAACTAAGTAGATAGTTAATGAAACTATTTAATGTCAATTAGGTATGCACGCACCTATAAAGTTAACAGAAGCTTAATATACAGTAATACTAGTTCTTACGCGCGGCTTTGTCGAATACTGCGTGTGTACTGTTCAATCTAATGGTGATTGATTAAGCATTTGAATTAAAAAACTAAGATAAGTAATAAACTAATTCGCTTTCATATTTATTTATTTATTTAATTATTTATTGTACAAACCAGTTATAAGAATCTGACAGAGGTAATGAAATGTACAAAGGCGAGCTTAACTCTAATAGAGTTCTCTTCCAGCAACACCCAAAGTGGAAAGAAGCATCAATGTAAGCGGGTAGAGCGGTGTACAATATTGTGACAATTTTTAAACAAACTTGACAAAATTAAATTAATTACATTACATTTAATCGTATAAATACACATATACATAAATATATACCTACATCTATGCATATATTTACACATACATACACACACATATATATTATATTAGTAACCGTCATTTCTTTATAACACGATTAGTAAATTCTTACCTTATACTTCAGTACCATGGACATAATAAAATATACTGTTTCGCCCATGATACCCCCCATGCGTTGCCATTCCTGAGGACTCAGGTGTTATTCCTCTGTACCCTGTAAATTCACTGCCATGTTCCACCCTTCAAACCGAAACACAGCCATGCAAACACAACTGCTTCATGATAGAAACACGAATAGGACACAGGTGCTCAAGCAAACGACTTTTGTACAAAGTCTCCCTCTGGTAAAGTTCTGACTGCAGAACTTTTTTTAATTATTTCATTCATGTTTCTAAATAAAAAACATTCACATTCTAGATATTATATTCTATATATGTATATATATTCTATTAACCAAAGACTTCGTGCAAAAGTCGTTTGCTTGGCCACCTCTGTCCCATTAATGTTTCTACCGTGAAGCAGTTGTGTTTGCATGGCTTTGTTTCGGTATAAAGGGTGGGATTTAGCAGTGGCAGGGTACAGAGGAATAACACCTGAGTCCTCAGGAATGGCAACGCATGGGGAGTATCGTGGACGAAACAGTATATTCTGTTATGTCCATAGTACTGCTCATGTCTATAGGCGACGGTTACCACTTTCCATCAGGTGAGCTGTCAGCTTGTTTGCCATTCTAAATTGCATAAAAAATTTTGATCTTCCAACTGTAACTTGTTAAGTAAAATAAAAACATTACTTTTTATTTTCTTTTACCTAATTATTAGGTATGAGTAATATATATGTAGCTATATCTATATATTTTAGTTACAATATCTATATACTGGGCCCATAACGGATATGTATAAATACAATATTGTCTGATCTGTTATCTAAAATACAATATTGGCTAACAAATTTTTTAATCCCCATTATTAACAATCCCTTCTCCCCCATTTAAACCGTAATAAAACACACTGATG